AGACTAGTACAGAATCCACATTGCGTAGATACCTTGCCCTGGCTTGTTTGCCTTGCACAGTAAAGGCTCCATAGACTTCTATGAAGGGGTAGATAGATTGGCACCTATCCTTCTAGTGACCCAATAAGTCAATCAAAGCGAACTGCACACAGACTTTGGGTGAAGAAGCTAGGGATTCAATTTAGAGTTCAGTGATTCTTGCCATTGCAAACAGCATGTTTCCTCGTGTCTTTACTTAGCAGCACCAATCTTTGTTGAAGCAGAATGTCTTACATTACATGTACATTTATCCCATTTATTTTATCCTTGTTATTATTTACACCAATTAAGTCAATGCATGGTCTGTAGCCAAGATAGCCCAATAATAGTCCAGAACTGCCTGTTCTTGTATACGCTAGATAATGTGGAGACCAGTAGGTTTCTGCTATTTACCACTGTATAGAACTGAATAGGTGTCACCAGTCCATATCATTAGTGTTGATCACAGATAAGTGAACAGAGTTTGCACAGCCCTTAAAGTGTATTTCCACTTTTACATAAAAATTTAAGAAAAACCCTATATATGTGTGTTGTGTTTTCCTATTCACACAGTTTTTGTTTTGTTTTAAATACTTTTACCTTTTAGATATTTTGTTGCAGCAGACCACATGGCTGCATCAAGGTTATTCTGAACACCTTCACACTGTTCTGTCCTCATAGAGAGACTTAGGATTGAAATTTGTGGATTGTGTTTCTCTGATAAACTTTATTAAACATACAGTTCAGAAGCCCCTCACCCCTCACAACCTCTCTTAAGATTACAAGAGGGAGAAGAAGAGATTGTAACCCTTAAGAAGCCAAGAAACCTTAACCTAAGTAAAAACAATTCAAACTGCAAGAAGCATTTTGTACATATTTTTTTTTATCTTATGCGATGTGAATGGGAACATGTAACAAATATAAAAGAGGAGTTATCCCAATTTGGCTGTGAAAGTGGAAATACACTTTAGTGTATTTATACTTTTGTCATCAAATTTGGGAAACCCCTCTATGTATTTGTTATGTGTTCCTGTTTATACAGAATACGGAAAAAAAAAGTTAAAAAAAATTCTTACCTTTTTAGATGTTTTGTTACATCAGACAAGATGGCTGATTCCAGGTTTTTCTTATCCCTTTCATAGTGATCTGTACTAATGGAAAGACTTGGGACTGAAATTTGAGGAATGTGTTTATCTGATGAGCTTCATTAAGATACAATGGGCTAGCCACCTCAGACCCCTCACAGCCCATCCTAGCATTTCAAAGAAATAGCAGCGAGAAGAAATGTAAACCCTAACACAAGCAAAATAAATTTGAACTGCATTTTTTACATATTTTTGTTAGCTTATGCCATGTGAATGGGAACATGTAACAAATGTAACAAATAACAAAAATAAAATAGGTGTTATCACAATTTTGGCTGCAAAAGTGGAAATACACTTTAAGTCTTCTGTGAATGTTGATCAGCTGAGGGCTTAAAGAGGACCTTTACCCATATCTTTAAAATGACAACAAACACACCTTTGGAAATGTTTAGAAATGACAATCTACAAACACATACTTCTAGATAATTGCCGGCTTTGTATTCTTTGCATACCTTGTTTCTCTTTTCTTCTCCAGTCTTCTGGCAGTGGTCATGTTAACTAAGGGCAGATTACTAGCTCTTTACTTCCTGGATTTCTGGCACATGTGACTAGACATGGGACTAGGGCATGTGACCATGCACATCATCTCAGGGGAGGAAAATGCGTTTCCCTGAGATCTCGTGAGATTACAGGTGAGATTTCCCAGCAATGCTCTGCTGATGACAAGGCAATCCCAGTGTGCATTGCTTTGCCAATACTGAAGTCATTTTGCCCTTTCATAGCAGGAAGTGAATGTTCTGCAAGTGTAATTATTTCAGAATCACAGCATTTTACACCTGACATGTCTATGTTATTATTAATCATCATACATAGAGGGATGCATTGGTAGAATTTAATTATTGAGTGTAAAGGTCCGCTTTAAAACTTATTAGACAGTTCACATGATTTACTGTAAGCAGAAAAGACTTAACCCTTTCCTTAAAAACCTATTTCATCTTCTCTTCATCTATATGTATCTAACAAATAGCATTTCTCTTATCCCCAGCCTCAGAATCCAAGCCTGTGTTCAGCACCGGAGGAGATATGTTAGACTACCTAAAGTCCATTGGGCAGATCTCAGCCAAGGATGGGTTACAGGTCAGCTGGTATCATGCAGCCAATAACAAGAGTGAGATGCAGGAAGCCCTGAACAGTGAGTATGTTTTACATTCCATTACTGCATGCGAGTTATTGTATATTGCTTAAAGGAAGCACATTCATAGTGAGTAGGTTGCCAATGCACCACAACGCACAAGAATATGCCAATGTAACTTAACACAGTAATATAGCCAAGTTTTACCTTGTGCTGTTGTGCATTTGCAAGGTGTGTTGGGGTGGCTTTTAAGATAATTGACACTGTTCTCGTTTGGAAGGTTTTTAATGTTGTCTATGCGGCTGTTAGGGAGATTCATAGGGTGACTTATTCTGTCATTGATTTTCACTGGCAGTCATGTAGCAGGGATGCTAACTGCAATACCTGGCACAGTGAATGTAATCGAGAGAGCACCTACAGATCTTTATCTGATTACTATGTATTACCCTGCAGGTGGCATCCTGGTTTTGGAAGCTGACGTCAATGTCCAGGGTCATGGGACGGTCAATGAGACAAATATTCCCATCATGGCTCATCCCCCTGACGTATACAGTGACAATACGCTGCAAGAATGGCTGGACTCTGTACTGCTTTCCTCTAAAGGTATTATTCTGGTTTTCATGTAATTGGGTCAAGGAAATTCTTATATCTCATTATTTAAGGGTGACCTGTGGAACAGACAAGGTCACAGAGCTAGAAAAGAGACAATGGGGATTTCCCTAAAATGTATGAAAACTCTAACAATGAACTTCTCTTATTTGCTCCCTTTTGATGTGTTAAATAAACCATCAAAAGGGTTTTGTTATATCTGTTTGATAAGTTTAAAGCCTACCAGTTGATCCTGCCAGAAATGCTGCGATCAGATATCTTATCACGTACCTGAGGCAGAGACCTGAAGATGAGGAGGCCTCTCTTGCAGCTCGTGTCCTGCAACCCCTGGAGTTGCAACAGAAGGCTGCAGGACAGCAAGGAGCACGAGTGCCACGGATGGAAGCAGACACTGTGCAGTAGACGTCTTGTGGCGAGGTCAGTAGGTCAAAGGTCAAACCGGGCGGGCAGCGTGGGAACATATTCTGGAGACAGGAATCGTGGTCCAGAAAGCCAAGGTCAGAGCCAGCCGGGCAGCGAGGTACCAAATCAGAAGGCAAAAGTGAAGTCCAGGAAACAGGCCAAGGTCAGGGGCAGACAGCAAGCAGCAGAAGGGTCCTAGATAATCCAGGTCAAAACAGGTCACAGGCAAATCAACAGGAAACCGGAAACAGGAAGCACTAGCTGACAAGACCATCAGCAATGTTGTGAGGTCAGGCTCATTTTTATATAGCCACCTATGATGTACAACGTCATTTGCGCGTCTTCCCATGCCCTTCTGGTTGCGCGCTCATGCGCACTATGGTCTGTCTTTGGAGATAGGGTTTTTGCGCAGCCGCCAATTTACCCTTACATAACTTCTTGTGCTCACTGCCTGTACCGATTGCTATTAGATTGCATTGTACCCAGCCATCTCTGTGGACTCCAAAAAATCCCCTTTCCTCCTTGTGGAGAAGAGGAGAGGGCTGTACTGTAGTCCCAAAAGTGTGTTACTAGGAGGATCACTAGGTAAAAATAAAGGAAAATAAGGCTGAAAAAAAAAAAAGAAAGAAGGAAAATGAATTCAGCCACCACCATATCTAAGTACTATTAAGCTGCAAATATCTTTTTGTATTTGTGTTTGGATACACCTTACACTGTAATGCATCAAGGGTACAGTTTTAGCCTTTTTTTTCTATACAGGCATCAAGCTGGACTTCAAGAGCATCCAAGCTGTCAGCCCGTCACTTGACATCCTGCTGAAAAAGTCATCAGAGATGAACATCAACCGCCCCGTGTGGATGAACGCGGACATCGTGCCTGGACCCAACGTCAACCATGAGCTGGGAGTCAATGCCACACAGTCAGTATCCTGGAGATATCCGGGGATGTTGTCTGCCAGTTGGTGATATTCTGACAACCAGGATCCATTGATGAAAGAATTTATTTATTGTAACTATGATCCATTGTTGCAGGTTTCTGAGGTTAATCCAGGAGAAGTTCCCAGATATCACCATTTCCCCTGGCTGGGTAACGCTGTACCTGCCACCAATTATCACCAACCGGACTTACACCAGAGAAATGATTGTAAGGATGTACGATCTAGTGAAGGGTCTTCCCCAGAGAATCACCTTCCCAGCTCGAGCTGTCCTGACCCGCTCTGCTTGGCCTCACTTCGACTGGCTACTGCAGCAGTCTGACCGGTAACAAGCATGATGTCATACGTGTCAGATAAATTGAGGGTTGTATTTGTATTTGAAGTGTAGACGCTCCTCTACCCTTCATCAGTGATATCCAATGAGTCATTCCAGGGAACAATTAAAGCTGATGCTAGTCAGCAAACACTGCAACTGTGCTACAGTCAGGAAGTCCACTCAAATCCACTGTAAACCATTTACACTGAGTTCCTACATGGAATGGGTGGACCTGCTTCCATTGCTTCCGTATAACATTCTCTCTCTCAGATTAATGTGTCACCAGTCACATTTAAACACCTAAGGCACATATGAAGGTAATGTTAATTACAATCTATGAGTCAGTTTTCTGCATGTTAAGCCCCCGTGAGCTGAGCGAGAGAAACCAGTCAATACCCCCATTGTAGGGAGAAACCAATGATACCCCACAGTGTGGGGATTGGGGAATTAAAATCAATATCCCAAGCTGGGAGGGTTTGGAAATCAATCGATACCTCAAGCATAGGGATTGAGACACCAACTGATACCCCCTCCCCCAGTGTGGGGACGGAGCAACCAATTGATACCCCCAGCATGGGGATCGAGGAACCGATCCATACCCCCAGTGTGGGGATTGAGAATACCAATCGATACCCCCAGAATGGGGATTGGGATATCAATTGATAAACCTAGTGTGGCGATTGGCAAATCGATACCCCCCAGCGTGGGGATTGAGATGCCAATCCTTCCCCCAGCATAGGGATTAGGAAACCAATTGATATCCTCAGCATAGGGATTGGGAAACCAATCGATACCCCTAGAGTGGAGATTGGGAAATCAATCAATACTCCCAGCATGCGGACTGAGAAACCAATCCATACGCCCCAGTGTGGTAATTGAGAAACCTATCAATACCCTCAGGATGGGCATTAAGAAACCAATCGTTATGCCCAGTGTGGGGATTAAGAAACCAAACTGATACCCCCACTGTGGGGACTGGGTAATCAATCGATACCCCCAGTGTGGATGGAGGAATCTCCACCTGCTGGCTATTGTACTCAGACAACCAGCACCCATTGGATGCATTCACTGTGGAGCCAATAATTTTCCCCATCCACCTTTGATTTTGAAACTGTTTTATTTTTGTACCGCGTGGTGTCAAAAGGGTCCCCCATGGCTTGAAAAATTTGAGCCGTGTATGGCCACCGATGAGACAGCAACAGGACTGATAGTGGGCATGTTTGTGAATATCCTGCCTTACAGATCAGTAAATAAAAGATGACCCAGATGACCAGATTACGGGCAAAAGAGAGTGAGATAGCTCAGGGCTGTACAGCTACGTACATCTAAGACACCAAGCAGTTATACTGTGTGCTTCCAGTATGCATCATCTGTGCAGGTCATGAATTACCTGGTATTAATTAGTCATGGTTAACTGGACTTGTTCTGTAGTGTTGAAGACCTTTGACCACTCTGAGCTGAGAAAGCACTTTGTTGAGCAGTGAAACATCTTCAACATGAACAAATCTACTTGAATGTGACTAACTACTGCTTGCCATGGCAAGTCAATGTACACTAGAGTGACTTTAAGGAGATTCTGGACTTTGCCCATTCCGTCTCTTCAAAAGAAAGCTATACTGCAAAACATATATACGGGCTGCCATGCTATTTGGCTGTCTCTGACTTCAGAACTTTGAGATGCTGACCTGGAAAGATCAGCATACCCATTCAGAATCAATGACTTGGAAAGTACTGAGGTCATTGGATCACCTTCAATCTTGTGGTCCTCTTTTGCTGGTGAGGAAAATGGCGCAAAGTGTGCAGTGCCACCTCTCTTTGGTGATCCTGTTGCTGGTAGTTGCTGCCAATGACTGGATCGCTAGTGTGAAGTAACAAAAAATAGTAATATGCTAAATTTCATATTTACCTGATTAAAACTCATATTTGGAAATGTTTTATATTTTAGTACTTAGTATAATGAAGACATTAATTATAAAAAGATCCCCTCTAAAGAGAAAGATTGATGAGCTCTCCAAGACTAACATGCTAATGTATTAGACCTTCTAGTGCTATACCTTGCCAGTTGTCCATTCAATGCTATGGCTATATCAGAATGAAGATTTGGACTGTTGGTTGTCAGTCATCTAAGGGTTGTATTTTATTCCCTGCACAGGTACACCCTCACTTTATGGCAAGGCAAATCGGACCCACTTACCCTAGAGGACCTGTTGTTTATCCGAGATAACAGCGACCCTGAGAAGATCTATTATGACATTTATGAGCCTCTCTTATCGGAATTTAAACAGATAGTGTGTAAGTGTCAGTCCAGAGTCTGCAGGTTGGCATGATGAAAGTGAATTCCATGAATTCAAAAGTTGCTCAGGTTGCTTAGCTCAGACACACAGGTCTGTTCAGACAGGGACTATCTCTGTCTCTCCTGAATCTCCAATTTTCACTCTCAGACATCAGTCTGGCTCTGCGCCAGGTCCATTCAGGCCAGACAGGACTGGACACACTTTCCCTACGTGTCCACACTCATGCTGCTATTACAGCGCATTGGAGCCCTGACTCTCTGGAAATGTTTTCATTGTGGGTAAGACCCATCTCCAGTCCCCTCACTTGGGAGGACTATTTACATTTAAGGAATTGTGAAGTCCCAGCGTATACAGTACAATCCTGTTATAACATCGGCATTGTAATAGGAATACATAGTAGAGTTGTTTTTAATAATGCAATCAAAGTTTAAAGGAAAAAAATCCCTTTTATGTAGTGAGTATTGCCTTCCATCACGTTAAGAAACTTCCTGGATTCCCAATATGCTTTGCGTCTCATTCCCTGCTGCTTGATGTGATGCAATCTCAATTTCTCAAGACTACATGTCCCATCATGCATTGCTTCCAGTAAACAATGATAATGTTACATTATTCAGATGCTTTATTGTAGTTCACAAGGCAAGCTCTGTGATACAAGAAAGTGAATATTCACTGAGTGAAATGGTGTCAGTGCATTGAGGAAGTACATCCTAGGGGCATCTTCAATAAGTACGTTTACAAACTTCTACATCGATATGGTTATTAGGAGTGAGATAGAACTTATGGAAATTCAATATAGAAATACAGATTCATTTTAAAACCATTAAAGCAAACCTATCCCGAGACAAAGACAGGGACCTCCAATGCTCAAAATGCTAGTTACCAGCAAGTTTGCAGATCAGGAAAAGCTAGGAAAGCCAGAAGTCTTGTTTAGCAAACAGGTAAACTGAAGTTTAATGTATCATTTTTAGAGATACATGTGGAAGCTGCTCAAAGTAGGCTGACATTGAGGACCTGTCCTTCTGAAGATACTAGTGGCCTGGATGTCATGCTGACCATCTGGCTTCAGTACTTTGAATCCCTGTCCTGGAACAAGAGTGTGGCTAAGGACTTATGATGATTCTCTGACTTTCATAATGTGCATACTCTTTTTTTTTTTTTAGGCCACTGATTTAGGACCTGTCCAAGCCAGTAAATGAGCATAACAGTCAAGACATTCCATTCCTACATTTTTAACCCAAGCATTTTTAGAAGTTGGCCGGTAATGGCAACACTCATATTTCCCTCATGATAGGTTTACTTTAAGTGATCTGCCTTTCAGTTATCTGAAGTGACTAATAGAACATTATATAACCCAAGCTGTGGTCATCTGTTACAGAGAGTGCCAAGAACCCATCACGGGACTTTTGGGTCCTGCACTCTTCCTGCACTCAATGTTTTGTAGCTCCAGGGATTCCTTTCCCGCAAACACATCATGTTGGAGAACCCTTCATCCCAGCCAATGTACAGTATATATCCTCCAAAAATGCAACAGTTTATCTTATTCCAGGACTGTTAACAAAGTCCCATCCACCGTTTCAGAATTATAAACCTATAAAATAGTGAAAGACCTTAATATCTGAGGCAGGTAAATCTCTATATAAATCTACTTCTACTATAATAATATATGTAGACCATTAGTGAGGGGCTGGAACATGCTAACATATTTTCTTTTTCACTTAGTGAGTACAAACAGGAAGAAATTGTTCTATTCCGGTGGCAGTTTGCGGATGTATTTCCACCCTGAGGATGATGATGGAATTCTTGTGCAATGGTTCGACGCTGAAGGTGACTTATCATCTGTGCGGAGCCTTCTACAAAGTAAGGAGAGAGTAATGATGGCGGGGGATCCTTACATCAAATTTGGGGTGATGTTAGTCAATATGTCAAATTAACGGCAACGCAACGCACTTGCCACACTGTAATGCATGGTAGATGCATTTTGTGGTACCGTGTGTTGGTCGGTTCGGTCCTCCACACACTCCCAGTTTCTCAAGTGGCCCTTGAAAAAATGAATTACCCACCCCTGGTTGAGAAAGCTTTTCTCTTCTATAACTGTTATTGAAGTGCTTGATTATACCGGGAAAAAGATGGGAACACACATTTACAGTCTTATTGTACAAAAGTATAAAAATCAGTGAAATTTCTGACAACCAATTTTCATTGATGTCATTTTTTATACACAATTTTCAGAAAAACAACCCAAAGAAATGGTTAGGTCTAATGAAACATTTTTGCAGCTTATTCAATCACTGTTTTATGTAGCCTTATCCAGTTGTTACCTGAGCCCGCACAGGTTTAAGATTTCTGTAAAATTCAATCGAAACTTGAATTGAACAATTAAATCGAAACAGGCAGACACTAGTGACAGTGGTCACCAAGACAGGAAGTTCCCAGACGGAGACCCTGGCAACAATAAACCTGAAGAATTTCTAATTCTGTAATTTCCTCAAACCTGCCTTACCAGCTCACCTACTCCAGCCAATGATAAAATTCACATGTGCCGGGGATAAAATCCACAAGTCGAGTACTACTACTGAAGCCTTAGGATATGTATGGGCATCTATGTTCTAATGTGTACCCTATCACATACAACTTACAACCTTTCTTTATCTTACAGATAGCTTTGGAATGCTCACATTTCAAGTTGACGTTCAGTCATCAACTCTTACGCCAGTGGCAGTGGTTGCCCAGTCATCTTCTACGCTTCTGCTGGAAGACTGTCTAAAGCTGGTAGCTGCCGCCGCTAACCCATGGGGTGTCTATTTGAAACCTAAAGATCATGTTTCTCTCAATGAGACCTTGCATCTACTGAATAGACTGAACAGTGACAAACTGCTGTATGTTCCAGTGTGGATCAGCATGGAGCTATCTTATGGCAGTTTCACCACACCAGGATACATCAAAGGAGAAGATTTCATCAACAGCATCAACAACATCTTCCCAGCAGTCACCATTGCTCCTAGATGGCCTCCAGAGAAGCTGGATAATGGATACACAGACCAGATGGTGCAGGATATGCTAAAGCTCTTTGATGGGGTATGGCAGGATGTGTCCTTCCAACTGCAGGCCGTGGCTCTTGGCAAGGCTTGGCTAAGCACTGTCCATCTTTTGAAAGCCTCACCTACCTACACGCTAACAGTGGAACATACTAAAGACCAGGGGGCATTCATGGAAGGTTACCACGGCCTAGTGACCATCAGAACACATACCACAAATGGAGTTTATTACAAACTACCTCCAGATTATCGCTCTTCCCTCATGACAAGTATTTACTCCACATAGAAGAAATGTTTCAATATCTACAATGGGCGCACAATTTTGTGGGAATGGCTGGCATTGCAAAAACTCTTTTACATTTCTCTCAGCATACTACATTCCACAGTCGGTGGATTAAGAAAGGGTATTTAGTTAGAAAAAGTCTTGTTCTTACAGAAGAATCGTAGTTGAATGGGGTCGGAGCTGGGGTAGGGAGCCTGTACAGTCAATTGCATCACATTTTTAATGGAGAATGTTGGCAGTTATGTTTATATAATGTATTGAAATATCATTAATGTAGCTCGGACCTCTCAATGTAATGGTTTACAAACCTATACAATAAAATCCAATTGTATCTACAAACTGACTCTTCAAAGAACTAGTAAAATGCAGGCAATATAACAAAAAAATAAAATAAAAGCACAACTCCAGGCAAACAGCTAAATGCACTGTAGACATACGTATACAGTAAGTAAACTATTTTACCTGCCAAAGGGTTTGTATTTCTGTTCAGCCAGAAGCGTGGTTTTAAAACCTCTGCCATGCTACTAGTCCAGATAGTTGACACTAATATTATAGCTTTGCATGTTCCCATGCCATTGTGACTTGCATACCTCTACCATACCGCAAGTCTGGGCAGGTAACATAATTGTTTCTGCTTTGCAGCTTCCTATGTCACCTGATTGCTTACAGTTTGATGATACAGATTCCTTACTCAATGAGCATGGAGGTCATATGGTGGGCTGTCCAGTGAGAAGTTGGATTACCATGCTGGCTGTGCAGGTGTGCAAACCACAAGGCTGGCTAAACAGGATTGCAAAATAAAAGTCTTTCCAATTTGTATTATAACTTGTTGCCTGGATATCCACTGTACTGTATATGGGCAGAATCACTTTCACCTACTTTTCTTGCAAAGTAAAGGCAGATAATATATATATAAAGATAGCACCCAACACCTACGGAGCTAGTAACCTACCACTTCCAATACTGTGAGAGCGGCCTTTTCTATCAGGGCTGGCTGTCAAATCGATGGCTAACTAGTACCCTTTCTTTTTGCTCTATTTACCATATGGCTAATGCTAGCAATTCATGCCCCACGGGCTGAACGAGAGAAATCAGTCAATTGCTCCATCCTTGCTAAACAGTGTGAATGGACAAATCTCCCAGCACACTCGCCTGTCAGAATATCGTAATGGTGGGATTAGGTGAACTTGGTGTTCAGATGACAATTTTCCACCCATCTCTTGATGAGCCGGGGTATGCCTGCAAGGTCGTCCCACAGCTCAGATTGTGGCTGATTTAGCAGGAAATGGTAGCAATTTGAGTCATAGATGGCTACCTTAAAGTGACATTAAACACTCAGATTTTTTAACATAAACCAATACTGTAATGTGTGCCTTACTGTAATCCATGGTTGTTTCTCTTCTCTTTGCTGCTCTTCCTTTTAAATCTGTATCTGTTCTCATGCTGGGCAGAACTTCTGTTTTGCAGCAGACTGCCTTGTCTCTGGAATGGCTACATGGTGTCTGTGTATAGGTTTGTAACCTGAGCCAGCACTACAAGAAGAGGCCCTGAGCTGCAAAGGGAAGTTCTCCCCAAGCATGAGAAGACATGAGGATTTAAAAGGAAGAGCAGCAAAGAGAAGGGAAACTACCATGGATTACAGCAAGGTACACATTACAGTATTGGTTTATGTTAAAAAATCTGAGGGTTTAATGTCACTTGAAGGCTAACTATTACTAGTCTAACCAATGTCTAGTCTAAAATAATGGCACAACCAGCGCAATAGTCAGTGGTGGGCGACTCCGTCACTGCAGGGCAATCCAGGCGGTATCGTGCACGATGGCCGCGTGGTCACAGATCGCCCAGGTGTGAACCTGGCCTAATTCTGGCTTTTCGAAATAGCAAACGAGGTAATTAAGAGATACAATTAAGGTTTTAATGCAGAATACCAGTGTTGGTAGTTGAATAGAACCCTTTCATAGATATCTGTACATCAGACCAAAAAGGGGGACAAATGAGGAGGAAGGAAGGACAGAGGGATTTAATTCCAAATGGGAGGTATACTTGTGTTTGCATTAGAACTGCTTCTCTCCGCAAGTCTATAGAAATGCAAAAGCAGCTGAACCAGATCCAACTCACCTAAACTCAATTCTGAATGACCTCAGAAGAGTCTGAAATTGATGTCAAAAGCATTCTGCATTTGCCCATTGAAGCAAAACCACTGGCCCTAACCAAGTAGCTAGACCGGTTTCAGTCATGCTTCAAGACTACTTGAAACTTCTTGAAAGCCTGCTGAAGACTTGTTTGAAATGTCAGCCAACAATACCATTATAATATGTGTTTATTATTTCCCAAACTGGAGCTAAAGGGTGCTTCAAAGGCTTCAAGAAAGCTATGTGAAGATCACCAAAGGCTTTGCACATTCTTTGTAAAAAGATTGCGGTGCACACTGTTCTTTTACAAACCACAGCTCATAGGTATGAGGTCTATGTCCCCCAGCACTAATACCATAAACAGAACCCAATGATAGTAGTAGGGTCACTCATCACTTGAGCACACAAAGAAACTGGGGGGTTTCATATCACAGCCTATGTGTGTGTGTTTTGTTTTAAAGAGATTTTCAAACGTTAGCCCTTTCAGGGGGGCTACCACCATAGTGCAAGGGTTAACTGTTCATTTTAGTCTAGGGGCACAAAGAAATATACTCACCTGATCCTTGATCCTTGGCTGCTAAACTGGTCCCTGCAGCCTCTTCTCCCCGGGCTCCGGTGGTCTAAGGATCTGTGACATCATCACATATAATGCAAGGTCCATTCACCTGTATTACATATGAGGACACCGAGGAAGATACTGTACTGCAGCTGGATCGAGGGGGGAGGAGAGTGGTTACCGCCACAAGATAGAGGATGGGGGGGGGGGGGAGGGTTTGTTTGTTTTTTT